CGTTGAGAAGGGTCAGGAAGCAGTATTGGTTCCCCAGGTGACTGGGGCTCCGAGACTAGGAATGGCGCAGGGCCCAAACTAGGAGTATAGAACGGCGAGGCGGGGGATGGAAGGGTGAATGTCGCTTAGGGAGTCCTGGCGCAGAGAGCTGCGCTATAGACTTACCCCAAGAGGCCTGAGGATAGTAGTGAAGGCTAGGAGAGCTTTTCTCAATTTTTATTTTTAATTATATATATATGTATGTGTATTTATGTATGGGTATGTAAGTCAGAGGTGCCTATGTAAGTCAGAGGGATCGTATCCCCAGGAACTGGAGTTTCAGGTGGTTGTGTGCCACCAGATGTAGTTTCAGAGAATTAAACCCAGGGCCTCTAGAAGACTAGTATGTGCTCTTAATCACTGGGCCATCTCTCTAGCCCCGTGTAGTGTATAAGTGTTTTGTCTTGCTCTTAATCACTGGGCCATCTCTCTAGCCCCGTGTAGTGTATAAGTGTTTTGTCTGCATGTATATATGTGTGCCATGTATGGTCCAAGCCTGGTACCCAAGGAGGCCAGTTGGTTGTTAGCCACTATGTGAGTGCTAGGAAGTGAATCCAGATCCTCTGCAATAGCAGCAAGCACTCTTAAACTCTGAGCCATCTCTCTAGCCCCTTGTTTGTTAGTTTTAACTAACTGCCACTACAGTAGCTTTTGCTACTGTAGCAAGTTGCTATGTTTTGTTTTCCTTAAACAAGCAGTATTAGTTTCATGTGTTTTTATTTAAATTTTGAACCTGTAGGTCTTGGTATAGTGCTCGATGCAATAAGAATACTACTTGTTCACTCATTCATTCAGCAACTGAACAGTTATTGTGTTGCATGTACTAAAGCAGTGCTCCTATGAGCTTCTACTTCACAGGACTTCTAGCTAACAGTGAATAGTGATAAAGCATGGTAGCATTGAGAACCAGTTTTCTAAACATAAAGAACAGGGGTTGGAGTAATGGCTCAGAGGTTAAGAGCACCAGCTGCTCTTACAGAGGACCTGGGTTCAATTCCCAGCACCCACATGGTGGCTAACAACTGTCTATAACTCCAGTTCCAGGGAATCTGATGCCTTCTTCCAACCTGAGTGGGCATTGCATGACCCAAGTACGTGTACACATGCAGGCAATATACTCATACACATAAAATAAAAATAATATATTTTGTAAAGATATATGGGCTGGAGAGATGACTCAATAGTTAAGAGCAATGACTCAGTGGTTAAGAGCACTATCTGCTTTTGCAGAGGCCGCTCTTGCAGAGGTCCCAGATTCGATTCCTAACACCCCCATGGCAACAAACAACCACCTGTAACTCCAGTTCCAGGGAGATCCAAGACCCCCTTTTGACCTCTGTGGGCATTGCACAACATGGGTGCATCTACATACATGCAGGTAATACACTTATACACATAAAATAAAAGTGATAAATAAAGATATAGATAACAGTTCGTTCAGGCAGAAGGGCCAGCAAATGTCAAAACTTTGAAATAAGTTTATTATGTTTGGGTATTATCAAGACCATTTTGACTGGAACACACTAGAAAGAGAGTGGCAGGAGATAGTAGAGGTCCAACTGACAGAAGACCTAATATTCCATGATAAGTATTGTGTGATTCATTCTAAGTGATGGCAGGACTACTGCACGGTTGTAAAGACTAAGGCACTTAGCACGTGTAAGGCACACTGGGTTGGGTCCCTAGCACCATGCACAAAACAAAACAAATAATCAAATAAAAAGAAAATAAGTGCAGTTTTGAGTGAGGCAGTGATATGAGACATTAAGACTAGAAATAGAGCATCTGTAGTGATAATTGTGTCTGTGTGTCTGTGTGTCTGTGTGTGTACAGGGTGCTTGTGTGCTAGGCCATGGTATGAGGGTGGAGGTCAGAGGACTATGTGCAGGAGTTGTTCCTCTCCTTCCACTATATGGTTCCTGGGGATTGAACTTGGGTCCTCAGCGTTGGCAGCAAGTATTTTATCTGCTGAGCCATCTCAATGGTCTTGAGAACAGTATCTTGAGTTAGTAAGATAACTAGCTATACTTTTTAAAATTAAAGATAGAGTGAAGAAAATGAGTGAGCAGGATGAATGAGGTAGAAAAATCTTAAGTGTAAGAACATTGAAACTCTGATTGGACAACTCATATATATTGACATATGTTTTTTCTCCCCCTCAAAGTATTAAATAAAAATTCTTTTCTGTTTCTTTGAAGGAATTATTATGAAGATTTGTTAAAATAACACATGAAAGCTTGTTATGAACCTTAAAACACTGACAATGTGTTATATTTTAATACTAAACATTTAAGAGATGTCTTAAATAAAGGCTTTTTAATAAAGACACTTTTGAAAGGTCAGATTTCTCCGGGATAAATGGGAGGCCCTTAATAACTTAATGTACAATTTCCCTTGGGTTTATGACTTATACTAGATTCTTCCCGATGATATTTTTAATCTTTAATAGCCTTATTACCACAAATAAGGATTGTCATATGGCAGTTTCTTCTTTTTTCAGGAAATGGCATTTTGACTCTTAAGCTTCTAATCATAGGAAGTATTTATTATGTACCTGTCTTCTCTTTGTGATAGTTAATACACAATGATTCTTTTCTTACTAAATATATGAAAATAAACAAAACGTGTAATCCACATGTCCTTTAGTTTAGTTTTAAATATGTTGTGCTGGTGATTATAAACAAAATATAACCTGCCATATTATAATAAATGTTGCTATATAAATAAACTTCAGGCATTTTGTGCTTATTTGTGTCATTCTAATTTTATGTTTTCCTTACATTTTAGCTTAACTTGAAATAATCAAGAAAGACAGAAGTTCTAAATAAAAGTTTTTAGTTTCTGAAATTACTTACTCAAATATGATTCTGCTGATTGTTAATTCTGTTTTCCTGTTGCAGGTTTCTCAACAGTGATGTCACAAGATTGACCACGCTGATCACAGTAAGACCAAAACCATACTTCAGCTTTAAGGATGATTTGTTTTCGCTGAGTTAAAGAATTGTGTTAGAAGATATTTATAACAAAAAACTGTCATTACTTCTTCCACTAGTCATTGAATGTTTTCAAGTTCAGTGACTCTTTCTCTTATTTCTAGTTATTTAGATATTTTTTAAATGCCCTAAAGGATTTAAAAACCATTTAAAATGAAATTGCCCTAAATGTATAACAAATTATTACACACATATTTCAATGTGAATCATTCTTTGAATGTCATCTTTTATTTTATTTTGTTTTGTTTTAAAAATTAACCAGAAATTTAAGATGACTTAAATTTAGGAAAAATATTAGAAAAAATATATAAAAATAAAATTACTTGAGACTATCATGGGTTACTAAGGACAGTTAGGAAAGTATTATCAAGCTCAATTCTTGGCTTCTTGCTTGTATTCATTTCTATCCAAATTATAAAGTCTTGCAAATTTAGAGTTATTTGGAAACGATACTAATGTTCTTCAACTTTTTCTCCTTAACTTTAAACTGTCAATTTCTATTGTAAGTACGAAAATGTGTTCCCGAAAAATAGACTCTTTCCAATGGCTAGGTCTACATTGTTGATTTTTGCTTGTTTATTTTTTGTTTGTTTGTGGTACTGGAGGTTGAACACAAGGTCTTACACATACTAAATATGAACTTTAAGCCATGCCCTAGCCCTGGTATACAATTCTAATTGGTAAAGTCTGCATTGTAGTAATGAAAATTTCCAGCATAAAAAAATAATCCTTTAAGTAACAAATAAATGAGTTTTGAGTAAATTATTTATTCATTGAATAAATTTCTTTAACCATTTTTTAATTAAGTAAGTACTAGTTATCAGAAATTAAGCTCATGTATTAGTCAAAACCATGTATAAAACCGTGTATTTATGTTCAACATTTCTTTTGGAAATTTTTATGTTAAAGGCCTTATCATAATTATTTAGTTTTACTGATGCTTATGACATATGCCTTGATTTTCCTCAGCCCTTTCCTTACTGCCCCGTGTTCTTCCCTTTCTTTTAGACGTCTCTCCTTTTGTTTTCGTCTTCTCTTTTCCTTCTTTATTGTTGTCCTAGGGCTTAAATCCTGGCCTCACATGTACTAGGCAAGTGCTCTATCACTGAGTTGTCTCTAAGGCTTTAAAAAAATAATCAGAGGGGGCTGGAGAGATAGCACAGCGGTTAAGAGCACTGACTGCTCTTGAAGAGGACCCGGGTTCGATTCCTAGCACCCACATGGCAGCTACAAACAGTCCTTAACTCCAGTTCCAGGGCAATCCGAAGCCCTCTTCTGACCTCCGTGGCATTGCATGACACGGGTGCACTCACATACTTGAAAGCAATATACTCATAAAGAAAAAATAAAATAAATAAAATAAAATATTTGGGAGGCAGAGGCATGCGGATCTTTGTGAGTTCGAGGCCAGCCTGGTCTACATAGTGAGTTCCAGGACAGCTGGGGCTACAAGGAGTTCCTGTCTCAAAAAAGACAAAAAAAATTTTTTTAAAACTTAAAAAAAAAAATCAGAACTTTATTGTTTTTTTCCTAATTGAATATTTTACAACAAATTGCTAAAACATTTCTGTAGGAACTTTCTGTATGCTTTACAATCAAATTGAAATCAGTATTTTATGAAAAGATTTTCGTATGTGTTTTTAAAATAAAATGTCAATATCCCCAGTTTACTTTTATAGTAATGTTAAGACTGTATCTAATTGTTGTGTGATAGCACATTCCTTTAATGCCAGCACTCTGGAGAGAGAGGCAGGTGGATCTCTGAGATTGAGGCCAGCCTGGTCTACATAGTGAGTTCTGTGACATTTGGGGCTACAGGGAGACCTTGTCTCAATCCCCTCGCCCCCCACAAAAAGAATGTTTCTAATAGCAGCTGTTCTAAATTCAAGAATTTCAGGAAGAGGGGTGATAGTCAATATTATCAGATGTTGTTAAATGAGTTAAAGACTAGAGGTGTTCATTTGAGAATGTGTAAGTGACTGATACTAGAAATCTTTACTTTGTAACAATGGCAGGATTGTGATCCTTTCTCCATACTGTCAAGTTAAGAGAAGAGATTTCAACACTGAGTCAGGGTAAGAGTGCTGGTGAAAGAGTAGTTCAAGTATTGAGCCCACATCTGAAGTAAGGCAGTTCCAGGAAGGAGCTGATATATCCAAAGACAATGGTGTAAGGTTAAGGGACTGGTCAGAGATGTGTAATCAGGTATAATTAGATGACATTGTAAGAAGTAAAATGTAGAATGTGGTTAGAAAAGATGCTATACATTATTTCAGAGCTAAAACTATAGTCAATGTTTATATAGTCTATAATGTATACATATATACTAAAATATTTTATTTATTTTAATTTTATGACTTTTATGAGTACCCATAGAGGCCATAAGAAGACATTGAATCTCCTGGAACTGGAGTTAGAAGCAGTTGTTAGCCACCATTAGGTGCTAGGAACCAAACCTGGGTCTTCTGGAAGAGTATCCAGTGTTTTAACACACAAACACACATATTTAATCTCAAAGCATTTTAACAGGTTTTAGAAGAAAAAAATTACCATTCACAATTACCATTGTACCCAAATCCACAATAATGTCAAAGTTTTTATTTTTAGGCCACTGTCTATTTCACTGAAATTTGTAAATGATTCTCAGTTTAGTCTTAATAAGTGTTTCTGTGTTCCCTTTATTTAGCTACTTGAACACATTTAGTGACTTCCTGTTTTTTTAATAGATCAAATCCATAGTTTTAATTTGGTATTCAAGGCCCGTCCTCTGTTTAGCTCCAGTATAGGTCTCAGCCATACATCCAAGTATTCAAGAATAAAAATCTTATATTCTACCCATTATAGACTGCGTACTCTATATTAACTATAAGTTTTGTTTGTTTGTTTGTTTGTTGTTTTTGCTCTTTTTGAGGCAGGGTCTCCCTTTAGCTCCAGCTGGCCTGAAACTCATTATGTAGAGCAAGGTGACCTTGAACTCAGAAAGATCTGCCTGCCACTGCCTCTGAAGTGCTGGGATTAAAGGCATGTGCCACCACACCCGGCTTAACTATATGTTTTTATGCCATTTATAATCATATCATTATCTCTGCATAGAGTATACTACTACTTTTCAAGCTTAAAAATAATTATTCTGATGCAAGCAAATCTCCCTTTTAATTCTCTGTCCATATTCAGTCAATCTCTCTGGTCTTCTCTAATCATCCTAAGTGAAAGTTATTCTCCTTCCTTAATAGTTTGGTGATACTTAATTTGTATTGGTTCAATGTTACTGCCAATTAACTCTTGTATTTTGGATTTTTTTTGGTATGCATCTACCTTTCTACTGTACTCAGCAAATGTTTATTGGTAATGACTAGTACCCTGGAAGTGCTAAATTACTTAATATCTTTAGTTTTCCCTAATTAAAGTTGAAATGATTTTAGCATCTGTAATTGAGCAATAAGATGCAGGGTGGCTAGGAAGGTGCACAGTTTTTAGATCTATATAGCATTGACATCTCACTGTGCTATTTTGTGACTTTGTGCCTTGGTATCTTCAACTATGAAATGATGTACTACATATATATGAAAAGATTATTATATGATTTAAATATGTCTTACTTTCTTCCCCTCTTACTTGTGTAGATATATCTTGCTACTTAAAGATTGTTAAGCAGCACGGAATCAACTTGTAATGATCTCTTCAACATAAAAATTTATGATATACATTGTAGCCCTTGCATGTTTTAGAAAATTTTTGCTTTCTTTTGTGTATGTATCTGTGTTCCTACATGTGTCTGGATGCAAGTATGGAAGCCAATCTTGGGTATAATTTCTTAGGAGCTGGTTACCAGGTTTCTCACAGGGACTGTTAGATTAGGCTAGACTAGCAGGACAGTGAGTCCCAGGGATCTACCTGTATTTACCTCCTTAACACTGGGATTACAAGTCTGTGTCATCATACACCTCTCTTTACATGGATTTTATGGATTGAGTTTAGATCCTTATGCTTGCACCACAAACACTTTAATAACTAAGATATTCTCCAGCCCCTAGATTTTGAATATGTATAAGATATATATGAATATGTGTATGTGTGTATAATAGCAATAATCTTATGGTTTTATGTAACTTCTAGCAAAGAGGTATTTAATTAAATCTGATATAATATCCTTTTATTTGAGACAAGAGAATCATACCTCACTAGAATGCTAATCTCTAAAAGGCTAGAATGAACTTTAGAACAGTTCTGATTGGAAATTATAATATGAATGAGAAAACCAAAGTCTAGAATTTGGGTGTGGTAGTATGTATGGTACCTAGGAGCATGGACTTAGGGTCAGAAAAATATTCAAGTTTTCCCTCTGCAATTTATGTAATGGTTATAGTCTGTGCTAATTACTTTTGAGGTTCAGGTTTTCTTTCTCTAGGAAGACTTCTTAGATCACAGAAGTGTTGTCCATGTTAAATGAAATAATAGTCACAAAGCACATACCACAGAAAAAGGCACATACTAACTTCTTTTGACTGTCACAATTATCTGTAAAATTACTTGTCTATAACATAATGGGAAAATTTAGTTTCAATCTAGTTTTGTTTGGTTCTGCTGTAAGTTTTATTGTTTTATGATCACCTCTCACTTGGTTAAAAGTCTATGAATAACATCTATAGAAAGAAAATAGAATTCTATAGAAAGAAAAAAGAATAATTCTAGTTTTGAAAAACATATTTGAGAGGAAGGGCTGGAGTCATTTCTATTTTAACACCATGTGGGCTCTGGGGTTTTACATTCTTGACATTAGTGCCCTTTACCTGTGTAGCCATCTTGCTGGCCCAGAGTAATTCTGTTTCTTCTCCAGTCTCCTGAAACCCCTTTTCTCTGAGAGTATTTATACAATTTTATTTGCATACAATTTTTTTCACTGAATTTTAGTACAATGGCTGTTTTAATAGTATAACTTTCATATTTAGA